ACGTGATTCCTACACCACCTACTGCATCGCAAGTTCCATGATGGACCACTCAGTTCAAATAGAAAATAGCCCTCGCTTTCTCATCGTTCCATTCAAATTTGCATTTTTCCCACGGTTTTTGTTCACGTATCACCCACGAAACATCTACTTCAATCATTCTCACCACTACTTCATTTATAGGAACGCTTGAGTTAGTACTTCGGCCTTGATCTATCGTATTTGACTCATAGAATGTAAAATCATCAGGAGTAGTCTGAGAAGGAAGCCTTTCTGAAATTTCCTTTTAAAATTTTCTTGTGAAGCAGCTGGTCGATCCATCTTCTTAAGAAGCTGACGGTATCGATTGACTGAATTCGAAAGTATGGATAGCCTCTCAGTCTACTGTTCCAAAAAGTTTTTAACTGCATTTTCTTCTCAACTATATGGAGATAATCGTTGCAGCTTCCTCAGGGGGGCAACTCATCCTCTTGAAGAGCTGTTGTGATTATCTATGTAACACTTCTCGTTCATTTATTAATACTATAGCTGTCCGTTGATGGTGAAGCAGTGATGGATGGTGCCATCTCCATAAGCCTGCATCGGAGACAAAATCCCGGATCTAAGCGCTTTAAGGACAACCAGAGCTTCCGTTCTTTTGCATTCAGATGTGTTATACGATGGTCGATAGTGGAAACTCGAAGTAGTAAGTGGCTTGTTCTAGAAAACCCTTCGCGTTATTGTTCTCAGGCACGTATTTTTGTGTCCTACATATGATTTTTGATAAAAGTCGAGTATATGATGCATCCCGAAACAGATTATTACCTCGTATTCCTCTTTTTCTTTGTCGTTTCTCTTAAATCGTTCCTTTTTCCCAGTATTTCGCATTATCATATATTATCAACTTTATTCCTTACCTTTCATTTCATTCTGACTTTCTCCTCTTTTTACCTCTGATACTCCTTTTCCCTTTCCGTCTCGAATCCAGCTGAATTCTGTTTCTAATATTAAAAGCGACTGAACTTAGATGATGAGTAAGGGCGCTGTTATTACAGCGAGACCACGCCGTTACAACTGAGAAATCTTTTTATTCGATGATCAATGAGTCGACCAATATTCACTGTTTTCCGCGAGTTCTTGAAATTTTCGGTATTTTCATATTATAAGAGGAATATCTAACAGTAGGAGAAAGCTAGCCAAGTTCCTGATTAACAGAATCACATTTAGAGCTTCAGAAGAACCCCATGAAGATTATTCTCCCATTAATTATGCGATGGTTTGGCCTATCCCGAAGGTGGTTCAGGGTAGTGAGACATTTGATTGGATAAGCCGTAGATTAGCTTCCACCTTTTTGAACCTCCAAAGAAGGCAAAATCGCTGAGTTGTTAGCCGACGGAATTATTTCCGACCTTGTGTGCTGTTAAACCTAATAAGGTCGTACTCCGTGAATTTCTTTTCTTTGATGATTTTTTTAATCTTCATATTTTTCATTAAGGTATTAGGCCATGATGATGTTTCCGCCACCGTTCCGTTTGTCGATGACGGTCGTGCTTAGTACGATTTTGGTAGTAGCCATGTTCGGAGTTCTATTTTACCTTCTGCTACAAATTATACGACAAAATCACATCAGGCACAAGTATGAGGTTAGCCGGATGATTTCAAAAATGAAATAAATGTAGTGGTCTACGACTGCTTCTGATCAGCCTATTCCAACAAACATATTGTTGATTTCATTCGAACTTTCCTGGACTTCCTGTTATGTTAAGCAAACCAAAGTCGGTCTCTTTTTCGGGACTCAATACATCACCGAATACGAGTACAGGTTTCTGTGCGGAGTTCGGCCCACCTTGTTGTACGTGCCGCCCACAGCGGCAAGACCTTCGCTTGTCAAAGTGAGCCTTGTACGGATAGCTCTATGGTTCCTGGTTCTTATTTAAACTCGACATACCCACCCTGGATAAAGCTGCATTTTATGATAGCAATTCGAAAGGTAGTCATAGTATTTACGGTGGTGGAAATCGAATCGAGGGAACGAATCCCTATGCTTCATGCAGCGCCAGCAATTCTGTCAACTATTCTGGAAGGCAGGATAGAGTAATGGGACTACTTCTTATTCATGCTGGCAACAATAGTCTGGTCTGGGAAGTTATGATTGCTCGAGTTGTTTACAAATTGTTCAAATAGTTGTACAGCGAGGCCTATTCCCCTTTCAGGCCTCCTTGGGACAGAACTCAAGTAAAAGCTGAGGTTAAAGTTGTACCTCAGGAAACAATCACGATCATTACAAAACAACTTTTCAGGTTCAGCTTGCCAAGCCAACCCAGCAATTTGCGATAAACGAAGATTTTCTGTAAACTCCAAATTCCACAACGTACATATGCATACTATTTATTGTAAATAAAGTTGTTTATGAAGCAATGATATTAATCTGACTTTTGCGCCAACATTCACAAGGCTTTGGTGTTTCACTTTTCAAAAACATATAATAAACCCCTCCCATAGCCATAGTGCCAGCCAAACAATGTTTGCTCATTGAACATCTTCGAACAGTAAGCACCTGAGCCTGAGCAGAGCTGAAGAAATCAGCAGACAAGCATTCAGACTGAACGTTCAAAGGCCAAGGAACATATATTCAACGGGTATCCGGAATAGAAAATTTCCTGGGATCTTTTCGTGTGGCATGGTGGTAAAATACTGGTTAATGCTAACTACATATTCGTTTGAGCAGTTACAAAGAATGAATGCGGCCATTATACCAAATACACAATTTGGCCCCTGCACTTATTTAATTCGTATTTTTTGGGGGTAACCATGTGTTCTGTCCCTCCCAAATTGATCAGTCTGTGCTATTCTCATTCGAAAAGATAACAACAATAAACTGAAAAGGAATCCAACATTGTATCGTGCAATCCAAATGCATCTCACGTATCCGGTTGATCACCGACTTGCTCGGGCAGGAGCCAGAAACGTCTCCATTCGTCCCTGTCCTGAGGCAGTGTAGTCCAGTGGATGCTCCATGCTTGAGGACAGAAACCGGAACACTCCTTTCGTTCAGAGCTTTTGTGAAAAAGTCTGACCATTGCGCAAGCAGTCGTCTTGATGTTGGTTTGACATCCCAAGGGAACCAGCCAGTAACCGCCTCGGTCCAACCGTCACCGTCAATCACAAAGTCGCATGACGTGTACGGTCCTGCTGAACCCGAGTGCATGGCCCAAACAACGACTCTCGTAATATTCGTTTGCTAACAGAACTCGATTCCTCTACATCCATTGCACTTTCCACAGTGTGGTGATAAAAGAAACTAAATCCAAATACGTCGCTGATCGCCCTTGAAATACTGATCAGAAAGAATGGGTGGCTCAGATCGGAAGGAAGACCCGACGTGTCATCCCTCCTTCTGCTACCAAGGAACACGGTATGGGAAAAGCGACTCTTACCAGTGATGGCTGAGTGGGTTGAAACAACATAAACAACGTTCCTCATCTGCCACGAAATAGCAGTTTTTCGCTGTATACTCGCAGTTCTGCCGCACATTTTGGTTTTTTTTCTATTCCTATCTTGAAAAGTTGGAAGTCTTGAGTATATTTTCCTTCCAGTCAGAAATATTTCCAGTAGTTGTCGGTACGAGTACTACAAGAAAGCAAGAAGGTAAGAAAGGAAATGGACTTCGAAGCATTGGGCTGGCGACCGTAGAGAGCCCAAAAGAGAACAAGTGGAGAAGAAAATAACTCTTATCGAGCATGGCCGCTGTGTAAGATGCTTTGAATAGGTGGAGGTTTTGCTGGAAAGAAGACCTCTGGTGAGGACGGAATCAAAGTTAAAAATGAGAGCGAAGTGGAAGGAGGAAATAAAACGCACTGAATTACTGCCAATTCACTGAAATCTATACGGATGAATCAAAAAATCTCTTATCTGACCGCTTAACAGACTATAAATAACCGGATCAGAGTTTCTGGAGAACAGTTTCTTATGGGCTCACTGCCCCGGCGGTTTATCTTCATGGTTGTGGCCGTGTTCTTTACGAAGTTCTCTACGAGCGAGTCGGCTCAAGACCTCTATCATCATGAAGACGTTGAAAAAGCTTCTCTCCATGATGCCGATACTCTTCTCAGTGCTTGTGGTTCCTTATTACGAACGAAGGTAAGTTCTGTACACAGGCCCTTATGGTAATGGAAGATAGAAATCGCTGCTGAAGGCAGAACCTGGCAATGTGCGAATGTGTGCGTGGACCAAGAGATTGCCAATGGACAAAACAGGCTGCCCGGCCTATCAGTTCACGACGGGCTATGTTCCAGGACATGTGAGCTTTTTTACAACTGCATATCCCCTCTGGAGCAGCCTATGTTCAAGGCAAGAATTCATAATCGCTGGTTTAGATAAGAGGGTGCCTACTAGGGCCCAATGTAGCTGTCTGTTCATGCAGAAACCGAGAAGATTGCTTCAAAGACGTAGACGACAGGCCAATACGAGTAAGAGAAACGTACCATCGATTTCCAATCCAAAACCGGCCTAGCAGCTTGAGCGATGTAAAATGGACTTTGTTCTCGCAGACGCTTATAATCGATATTCATTATTTGATAGTTTTGTTGAGAGGTGGTCGAATGTGTTGCTCAGTAGATGGAGTTCACTCTATTTGTGAACATCTATCATTTGATCATTATAGCTGAAATTCAAAAAATCCTGACAATAAGACAGCTCATTCCCTACAAGTTAGAAGGTCCTAATGTAACATGAGGATCAGCTGATCCCTACGACCTACATGGCACTCATCGAGCAAGAAAGACCAACAAACGACTCGTACCCTGTTTTTAGCCACTTAAATCTGCTACATCGTGCCTGAAAAAGCGTGCCATTAGTGGGTGATAAGAGGGTAAAGACTAATAATAAGTGAGGCCTTCTACCTCTACAATCTTGGCAAAATCAATGATCAATGATTGTCGTCGAGTCCTTCAATTGTCAAGATTATAAGAATGGCTCGATCGGGTATGGATAGGTGTCGATGGCTACAGGTGGTCCCATACATATTTCAAGCATTGAAAGATCCGGAACCCCAAATTTTTCTGCTGTATAACTCAAATTCTTGAATGGTTCCATAAATCACTAATCAGAAATCCGAAAAAAAAGATTTTTAGGGAACCAACTATTCTTTGTCGGCAGTTCAGTACGAGTTGCAATGCATACGTGATGAGTGGCTACATCCTCGAATCAAAAGGGAAGGAGAAGACGGCGGTGGCTCCANAAACTACCATAACCGAACCAGATACTACCATAACCGAACCAAAAACGACCACTACGTCAAAAGAAACTACTACAACAGCAACTACCACCACAACAACACCAACGACCCCAACAACAACAACTATAACGACCACGACAACAGCAGCAACGACTACAGAAGAAGAAACGACCACTACAGAAGAAGAAGAAGAAGAAGAAAAAGAAGAGACTACGACGGAAGGAGAAACGACCACGACTAGAATGACTACAAAAAAGCCAATCGTTCGTCCCCCCACCACGACCGACGACCAAGACTACGTGTACACTGATTATGTCGTGAAAAAAACAAAAGGAGTCACATCTACAAAGAAACCCACTACTACGACTGGCGGTGATTACTATACCGATGACGGAGGTGATGATTACAATGGAGAGACTACAAAAGGAGGGAAAAGGACAAAGCGGCCGAAAATTACGGAGGTACCGGTAACGAAAGAACTTTCTCGATTCAAAGAGTAGTAGATATGAAGACTTGGGTATTGGTGCGAGAGAACTATGTCTTCAGAAAGAGGTTTTCCGAATGTCGAAGTGGTGGAAGAGGCAAAACGTATCATAGAAACTGCTCAGTTCGACCCCAAACCGCTAAGTATTGCTTCTTCATCCATTTGCGAGCACATAGGCTGCTTTCATAGTCCGCCGGCGCGCCGGCGTGCCGGCGGAGGCAGTGCTAGGGGGGAGGAGGGAGGCAGACAGTGTAAGGCAAACAGTCCACGCCCCTTCGAAGGCTGTTTGTTTTCAACCCCTCGAAGGGGCGCGGTAGGCCTCGCTAGAACCCTTCCTTGAGCATGGGCTTGCTGTGTTTAGTTCTCATCAAGCAAACAAATACGGAATTGGTAAAGCTTTCTCACAAAAGTCATCTTGCGTAAATGATTTCAGAAGGGCGGAGAAGGAGCTGAAGAAGACAAGCAAACATTCTTAATCAGAGAGTGAGCAGTTTAACAGATCAACTTATCAAAGAGAAAGTGGTGTAGTGACAAGTGGTGCACTATCACATGCATAGATCCGAGCTCGAATCCAGTTCAGAAACCCGCTCAGGCCAACGTTCCATCTATACGGGCTCTATTGCTTTTATCTCCAGCACAGTGCGGGACATTCAAAATCCCACCGATATCCTGAATGGAAGTCAAATTTGGGGGGCATCTTAGAAAAGAGCAACGCCAAAATACTCCAAACGTATGCGGACCATCTAGCCAATACATTTACGGATATAGCGGGCCAAATATGAATCAACTTCCTGATTTATTCTCGGATTCCCAGCTCCCGATAGGTGACGTTATAACCGCTCAATGACATCCGGCCTGTCATCTGACGTATCAAAATAGGAGACATCGGAACGGTTGACAAAGATCAACAGCTGGCGTAATTGATGCCATGGGATTTTGAACTTCTGCGTGATTTCAGACCTATCACTCTGTGAGAATCAGGGGCCTTAGTTGACCGAAGAAAGATCAGATCCACGGATTGATAATACTATACTTCCTCCTCGACCCCTTTAACATTACCAATTCCACCCATTTACATTATATAGAGATTTGCCTTAAAGCCACAAAATCGTTACATCATGGAGTTTTTCACGTATTCTGGGGCGTTTTCAGGAACAGAACAGCATTTGTCCTAACAATCCTTGGAGCATTTGCCTCTACTCTACTCTTGTTGATTATCATAGTGATTAAGATGTGGTAAGGAAATTATGATAGAATTTTTATTTCATTATTCAGGATATAGGGGGCTGGGGTAGAGGACCACGATGTCAGAGAGGAACAAAGGTTTTATGTTTCAGTAAGTTGTACGAGAAAGGCACTACTGAACTTTTGTATAGTAATAGAGTACTTACACTCCAAGGGTTATGATCGAAGCAGCACTAACATCAGTAAGAGTGGACCCTCCCTGCATAAGAACACTAGATGAATAGACGCTGCAGCGCGGCGGGGAAGTTGTTCTAACGACCTCTCCCCACTCCTATGGAGAAGAGTACGAGGCAAGGCGACACTATTTCGCCGAAGCTGTTCACAGCCGCGCTGCAGTGAGTTATGAAGCCACTAGACTAGGGCGAAAAGGACATTTGCATGGATGGACGGTTCCTCTCAAATCTCTGCTTTGCGCACGACATCGTTATCGTTTCAAGCAGCGTTGCGGAGGCTGAGACAATGCTTGCTGAGCTCAATAAAGCATAAAAAAAGGTGGGCTGCGAAACAAAAGAAACGGATTACGAAGAATGCTTGAACTGACGAAGGCCAAATTAAGATCGACGGTACACTTATCAAGGAGACCTCGCCCTACTCTTATTTCGGACGTCCCATTAATAGGGACAGCAACATGAAGGAAGAATTCGTAAGATGGCATAAAGCAGCTTTCGAGCCTCTGAAAGCGGTCACCAACCATCTGGCTGACCCGAAACTCCGCGTTAGTCTTTCGCTTCCATAGTTCTTCCTGCGCTGTGTTACAGGTCGGAGAGTTGGGTGACCAGCGCATACATCTCAAAGGCTTTGAGCACAAGTCACAGAGCGGTTCACTGAATATCGAGCCGGTCTCCGCGGCTCCGATATGTGCAGAATGCCTCGACTCCGCGATCCTGTGAAAATATATGAAGAGCGCAAAATTTCGGTGGCTCGGACACGTAATGAGAAAAGATGATGAATGATGGACGAGGAGAACAGTCGAGTGGGCTTCCGTAGGATCTTCACGATCTAACAGTAAAGGTAGGCCTACTGCGAGATGGGAGAATTTGCTCGACGATCACGTGAAACAGCTGCGGAAGCAGCTTAACGACTCCTAACATTGACGTCTTCGTCGAATTCTATGTCTACCGTGGATGGCGATCACGAGAGATAGAAGCGATGGTTTGTTGCTGGTGCTCGCACATGAGTGAAGACGAGCCGTATAAGTTTAAGTAAGAAACGCGTGATAAGAGAGGAGGACCAAGGAAAAGACTGGACCAATAACTAGTGCGGAGCTGTCTACCACTCCTATGCGTTCTAGCGTCTAGGCTCTAGCGTCTAGCATTGGAGAAGGGGTACCTACCTGACTAACAATTTTCTGCCTGTTTTACATAATCATGAGACTCTCAGGCAATTTTTCAGGTTCAAATTAGAACGACGTGAGAGAATTCGTGATATACAGAAAGAGGCAAGAAAGACAAAGAAATCAATGAGAGCCAGAAGACGATAGGCTATAATCGTTGCCCAGCTCCAGTACCTGATCAAACAATGACAAACCTATCTATTGACTGAAATTACACCCATCATTCAAATTTTCCCCTGTGTAACCGGTCATTTGACATTTTGTAGATAAACATTTAATCAAGCCTTGAGCCAAATTTTTTGACCCTCGTCAAATTTGATTACTTGTGAATTGGACAAAAAGAGCTAAACCCAAGTACTTGTCTGTAAACCGTACTCATCAGCAGAATTATTTTAGCAGCTCAAGTAGCCATGTATTCGACGTAAGACGAATTTCTCCAGGGGAGTATCTCCTCTTCAGGCCTGTACAAAACAAACCTGGAGGTGATACTTTTCCGTGAAAAATTTTCCACAAAATTTTTAACCCAGCAAGGATGGTGATGCTTAGGGAATCATTAAGTACGCATTCCAGCTTCAGCTCCAACAGCGTTGGAGGGGCAGAACTATCAGGACACTCGAGGGACGGTCACCTCGTACGTCCGAGGACGCGCGCGACATATTGCGCGGCGAAGTTCGTGACGATTTGTACTACTCTGACGCTAATTTTCGGGGCACAATCTCGAAGTAGAGTAGTTTGGTAGAGTCAGATGACCCTTCTGATCTACTCTACTTCAAGCTCGCGCCCCAATGATAGGCGCTAAAGTCGTTCAAACCGTTACGACCTTCGCCGCGCAATTTGCCGCGCCCATCCTCGGAAGTACGAGCTGACACATACCCGGGACACCCATGTTGTAAGATCGAAGTAGCCGTAACCAATGACGACAGTGGGAGTCGATTTCGGCATTTTTACTCGATGTGGTCAGCTTTTCACGCAGTTGCATCAAACAAAGAATCGTCCGAATATCTCATCTATGCAAGTGTATGTCGTCGGCGTGATTCCTCCCATCGTGCCGCCAATTCGACGCCGTTTGCGAGCTGCACAACTCGTCCAAGAACCATGAAAAGCCAAATAGACGATGTAGGCAGGCAGAATACAAGCAGGTCCGCAATTCGGCGTCTTAGTAGCGGCGTCTTCGACCGGGCTTCTATTAGCTGGAGAGGCAGTGAGTCGCCTAGACGCCACCTGGACGAGTTGTCCGGCTGGCAAACCGCTTCGAATGGGCGGCGCTATGCGAGTATCGCGCTAAACGACTGATTCCCCATCTATGCCACTCCCGACATGATAATCTCGTACAACCTCTACGTCTTCTGCGTAGATATACTTTTTGCGGAACTGGTAGATATTATCATTTTCTTTGCCATCGATGCACTATTCTACACCAATGCTCCTTATCTTAGGAAGTGTGCCTCAAACATATCGTGAACCATGGCTTCAGGCATGGAACACCGTTGCCATTCCATAATTTACAAGCTACGTGGTACTGTTTCTTCAATCCTATTGGAATATTCGTTGACCTAGCAGTCACATGGCGGATAACGGATTTCTCCCCGAACTCCCACGGCCTGCAGCATTGGTTCCGCGGCAGCTCTTCGTATCTTCCGATTGAGAAATCAAATCTCTCCCTTCATGGCGCGAGATCGCGGGCGGCGAGCGCGATACGCCGTTCGGGAAGAAGATGCCAGACCCGTCACATGGCTAAACCAAATAGCTAATTGTAATGGTATTTATCACGTATATTCTTTCGTATTCAGTTGGAAGTCTTGAGTATTTTTTCCTTGCAAGTAAAATTAAAAATAACGCTCCCTGAGACGGCTGATAGCGGTCGAGAGTAGTTGACAGTAGGAGCACTACCAAAGACAAAGGATCAATGATAAGGAAGGCTTTGGACTTTGAAGCATAGGGTTGGCGACCATGGAAGACCCAAAAGAGGGAGCGGTAAAGAAAAATTCCCATCGAACATTATCCCTATGTGGAACATGCCCTGTAGGGGTGTAGGCGATGATGAAAGCAGAACCTCTTATAAGCGACCAAAGTTGAAAATGAGAAGGAAGTCGAAGGAGGAAGAAGAAATAACCATAAAAAAATCAGTATAAAGAAGAGAAAAAGAAGAAGAGAAGAAAAAGGCGTTTGAAGGAGACATTGTGGAAAACGAGACGGGACCATCTATTAGGCTAAGTAAAACCTTTTGATGGTGTATAGGCGGTTCAGTGGTTCTCTACTAATAACTCCGGTAATAACGGAGTAAAAATACAGCATGTGTAATAATAAGTACGGTCGTTACCGCTACGAAATGCACAGAAGGAAAGTGAATAAGTATTTATCTAAACGACACTAAACCCACGTGCTGCCTTTGCTGTTGCGTTAGGTAGAAGCAGGGACCCACTTATCTCGGGGGCGCTTGACCACGCACCTTTTAGGGGCGTGAGTTAAGCTAGAGTTAGTAGTCTCAGACAGTGAGACGACGAGCTAGTTATGTGAGGTGATCGTCGCCTTAGACGACGATAGATGGGTTTTTTATCTTCACTTTGAAAATTTTCGTCTCATTTTCATTGAAAGACGATCTCAATCAGTAATATAGTCCCTATCGTTGTACCCAACATATGGCCAACGATTCGACAGTTTTGATTCCTGAAGCTCAGAACTGCGGCTGACGCGATCCGAAAAAGCTGGAAGTCTCAGTTTTGAGTCAGGAGTCCATCAAAATTTCTATCGCGAAGGTGATGTTTCAGAGCAAGAAACAAATAGTATTCAAACGGAGCGAGACTCAGCGAATAAGGAGAATGGGGCAGCACTTCCCCTCCAAGTTCGGCAATTTCCTGACGAGACAGTTTCGCAACATGCGGTCTAGTGCTGTCGAGAAGAAGGCAAACATTTACCCGCTGCAGATGCTTCTTTCGAATAACCTCGGCCAAACTCTGTAGCTGACAAAGTAGGTCTCTTTGGTCACTGTGGAACAATCAGTAAGTTATCCAAAGTAGAGTACTCTCTGAGAATCCCACCGACGACACCGTTAAACCTTTCTCGGACGTAGTCCACTTGTTTTGAAGGTGTTTCGTCAGGAGGCACCCGTGGGTTGAAATACAGTAATTCTTCTGGGTGCACCACACATATCTGCGACAGCCGCATTTGCGTAGTTACAAGGGAATGCTTATATATCCCCCTAAATGTACAGGTTAGGGATCGGTCCACCATAACCCATCACGAATTCCTTCCGAGCGGTCCTACAAAAGGATCTAGAAAGGGAGGAAGAGTCGATCAAATCTTTTTACTCAACCTGATGTATAACCTTGATTTTCGTCAAAGGAAAGACTGTAGGCAACGCGACCTCTTTCACAATCCTCTTCCAAACTAGAACACCCTGAGTTACTGCAAGTTTACTGAAAGCTATACGGATGATTCAAACATCGCTTATCTCACCGCTGAGTAGACTATAAATAAACGGATCAGGGTTTCCGAAGAACAGTTACGTATGGGCTCACTGCCCTGGCGGTTTGTCTTCATGGTTGTGACGTTTCCTACGAGCAGGTCGGCTCAAGAACTCTATCATCATGAAGATGTTGAGAAAGCCTATTTACATGATTTCGAAACTCTCCTCGGTGCTTGTGGTCCCTTATTACGAGCCGAGGTAGGTATCGTACACTTATGTTTGTGGTAATGGAAGATAGAAACCGCTCTTGAAGGGAGAACTTGGCAGTGTGCGGATGTGTGCATGGACCAAGAGACTGCCAATGAACAAAGAAGGCTGCCCAGCATATCAGTTCACGACGGGATATGTTCCAGCACATGTATGCTTTTTACAGTGGTTCATCCTATCTAAAGCAGCGTATGTTGAGTGCAAACTCTAATAATCGATGGTTCAGATAAAAGGATGCCTACTTGGGCCAAACGTAGCCGCGTGTTCATGTAGAAGTCGAGAAGAATGCTTCAAAGACGTAGATGACAGGNNNTGATTCGGGTAGGAGAATAGAGTGATTGATTTTCAATCCCCCACCGACCTTCCAGTTTAAGCGATGGAAAATGGACTTTGTTTTCGCAGACGCGTATAATCGATACTCATTGCTCGACAGCTCTGTTGAGAGTTGGTCGAAATTGTCGCTCAGTAAATGGAACTTTAGAACCTATTTTCATTCGAGTACTATAGATAAAATTTGAAAAATCTAGACAATCAAACAGTTGATTCTTCAAAAGCTAGAAGGCTCTGCTGTGGTCCAGGAGGACCAGATGATGTCTACGCCCTACATGGCAGTCATCGAATGATACGAAAAACGCAGTTCTGCCCAACTTTTCCGGTGGCCCTCCAGTATCCAGTGCTTCCAGACGCATTCGTCGGAGAACTCGAGAGTGCGAGCATATGAAGTGATACATATAGATTTGGTCGACCTATACTCGGAGAAATCAAAGTAGCATTAGCACGATTTCGGGGTTGCTTCTACGAAAGGGCTAGCAAGAGAGAACGGTAAAACGAACCGCATCCTGGTCTTAGCCTCGATGAACCTTCCAAATCAGAAAAAAGGAGATCGTTGTCGAGCATTGAGTCGCAAGGAAGAGCCAGAACGCCCAAATTCCCCGAAACTCTGAATTTGCTTCAATAACATGCTATCCAGGGCGGAGGTGGTGTTGTGGCTGTTGGCGCACTATCTCACACGCACGGTCAGAGGTTCGAATCCCGGATCGATATCTGCCCGGGCCAACAGACCAACCAAGCCTTCCATCCCTACGGAATTGGTTAATTGGTAGTTAATTGGTACCAGACTCGTCTGGGATCCCTTCCATCCCTCCGAGCTCTGACTTGTACATCGGCTCGCCACCCAAAAGTAGAGTGCGAGGGCGTCTCCCTCAGACGGGATTGATCAAGGCCGAAAACTTTATTTTTTTCAACAAACTACCCATATCTGCTACATCATGCCTGGAAAGGTGCGCCATCAGTGGGCGGGAAAAGGATGAGAAACCCAAAAGTAGAGTGCGAGGGCGTCTCCCTCAGACGGGATTGATCAAGGCCGAAAACTTTATTTTTTTCAACAAACTACCCATATCTGCTACATCATGCCTGGAAAGGTGCGCCATCAGTGGGCGGGAAAAGGATGAGAACCAAATGAGGCTCTTCTATCTTACAATTACGACCGCTCCCTCCCGACCGAAGAAATAGCGTTCACTAACCAGGTCCCGGTCTATTTTCTCATCCCACTTTACAACACTAATACACATTCAAATGACTGTTCTCAAGTCCTTAAGTAGTCAAGATAACGGTATGAGATGTGTTCCGATCGCTAAAGTGGTCCCATACCTATTACAGTCATTGAAAGATCCCAGACCCCAAATTGGTCGGCTATGGGACGTATACCTCGAATCTTTGACCATTTTCTCTTGAACATCCTTAGTATGGGTTTTCAGGGAACAAATCATTCTTTGTCGTCAATCCAGTACGAGTTGCAATGCATACGTGAGGAGTGGTTATATTACCGAATCAAAAGGGAAGGAGAAGACGGTGGTGGCTCTGATGATAGCACTCCAGAAAGTGCACAGGATGCGGAAAAAACTACCACTACCGAGCCAGAAACTACCACAACCACACCAGAAACTACCACAACCACACCAGAAACTACCACAACCACTACAGAAACTACCACAACCACACCAGAAACTACCACAACCACACCAGAATCTACCACAACCACAACTGAAACTACCACGACCACACCAGAAGCTACCACAACCACACCAGAAACTACCACAACCACACCAGAAACTACCACAACCACACCAGAAACTACCACAACCACACCAGAAACTACCACAACCACACCAGAAACCACCACAACCGAATCAGAAACAACCACAACCGAACCAGGAACTAGCACAACTGAACCAAAAACTACCACAACCGATCAAGAAACCATCACTACAACAATCGAAGAAACCACTACAACAATAGAAGAGACTACCACAACAACTCCCATCTCAACAACACCAATGACCACTACACCAGAAGAAGTGACTACTAGAGAAGAAGAGACTACAACAGAACAAGAAACGACAACCACAAAAGAAAAAACAAAAGGAGGCAAATCTACGAAGAAAACGAAGAAACCCACTACTAAGGACGACTCTGTTTACTATACCGATGACGGAGGAGATGATTACTATGGAGAGACTACAAAAGGAGGAAGAAGAACAAAGCGGCCGAAATCTTCGAAGGTATCGGAAAAAATTTCTCATTTTTAAAAGTAATAGGTATGAAACTTAGGGTGTCTGTGCCAGAACTACATATGCCTAACAATACGAAATTACAAATGACTCATAGAAAGGCAAATGTCTTATACGAGCCCTAAACTGACTGATTTATCTTTCATTTCCGAGCATACAAGCGAACATCGCTCTAAGGTTGACTCCTTATCATTTCGCCACGCCGTCTGGACTCTCTTATGTCATGCCGCGGCTCCATCCTGACCCAAGAAGGAACAACCCAGTTGATTGATAGCCGCTCTCGCAACTATTCCTACTTGCCAAAATCAGATTTGATGTTCTATGGCTGGTGGACTCGAAAACGTGATGAATCATCGTCGAAATCTTTATCCTTCTGACATTTATCTCCTTCTATATTCTGCGGTTATGGTAGTGAGAATGGGGAGACGGAGCTGCTTCCCGAATTCCCACGACTAGCGCCAATGGTTCCGCGGAGAGTGCCGTATCCTCCCACTGGGAATCCAAATCTTTCCCTTCATACCGCGACCGAGTAGCGACACGCCGTTCGGGCAGAGGATACCATACCATGAGGATGGCATTTTGTTAGCTTATTGTGAGCTCAACCACGGGCCTCACTAAATCGCTTTTTGAGAATAGACTATATTCACCTACGAGTACAAATACCTGATTAATCTGAAAGAAGGCGGAAGCTTCGAATCTCGGTAGTGATTGTTGTGCGCGATAGATTCCCGATCTTGAGACTTCGTCGCCACGCAAATCTTGCAGTACACCACACTAGTGATAGTGATGATTATTATATTCTCAAACTTAGGCAATCAAACCTCATACATAAACATGAGCACGCGAGAACACCGTGTAATTATTATTGTGCGTAAGGATTTTTGTTAGCGTACGGCTATTATAAAGCGAAAGAAAGAAATGAAAATGCCTGATAAATGCGTAATGTAGGTGTAATGCGTAAAAAACTGTAACCAACTAACTTTCCCCATCGTTCCGACGTGCTTATATTTGCAAGACATCAAGCCTTGCACAACCGGAACGTGGCATTTTGTTTTGTGGGAAGGTGGAGGATAAGGAGGTGTTCTCAGTTGCGCGAGGCTTGATGCGCCGAAATTGCAACATGAACGGCGTTACGAGAGAAATTCTTCTTCTTCAAAAGTCATTATAGTAAACGATTTCAGAAGGGCAAAGGAGCAGGAGACAAGGAAACTTTCTTCGTCAGAGAGTGAGCCTTTTGAAAGATTGTTCAACATATCAAAGAGGTGATGTAGTGACAAGTGGTGCACTACCACACGCATAAATCAGAGCTCGAATTCCGTTCAGGTACCAACTCAGGTCAACTAAGCCCTACGGGCTCTATTGATTTGTACCAGTACACTCCGAGAGACTAAAAGTACTGACTTACTATATCGGCCGGTCACCACAAATCATTGTATAATATTACTCACATACGCATTCAAAACCCCACCGAGATTCTGAAAGGAAGTCAATTTGGGGCGCATCCTGAAAAGGGGATTGATCAAAGCCAAAATACTCTAGACCTATGCGGACCATCGAGTAATACAATCACGCATATAGCGGACCGAATTTTGATCAACTCCCTTATTTACACTTGGATTCTCAGCTTCCGATAGGCGAACCCATAATTGCTGCATGACATTGGGTCTGCTTCCTGACTATCGAAATGGAAAACATCTGTAACGTTCATCGAGATCAACAGCTGGCATGGTATGATGTCAAGGGATCTGAACTTTTGAATAAATCTTGTACCTACCACTTCGTGAATAATTAGGAGCTCTTTTCGACCAAAGAAAGAACCCTCCACAGATCGACTCCTCCCACTACATCAACTCCACGCAATCACATTACATAGAGATATATCTTAAAGCTACAAAAATGATAATATCGTGAGCTTTTCAACATAACTGTGGCGTTTTCAGGAACCGAACAGCATTTTTGCTAACAGTCCTTGGAGCATATACATCTACTCTACTGATACTGATTATCATAGTGTTAAACATGTGGTAAGTAAATTACCACTGATCCTTTCAACTACATTATATTCTCCAAGATGTGGGTTAAGAGTACCGAATATGATGCCAGAGCAGGGCGATAAACACTGTATCGATGAATTGTGGAAGGAAGGTCCTACTAAACTTTTGTGTAACAATAGTGCACTTACACTCACAAACGTTATCTTCTAAGCGGCATTTACATTAGTAATGGGTGATAATGAGTGATAAAATCTGATAAATCATGATAA